TAAACACAGTTGCATGGCACATGGGCTCAGGGAGTTCATTTCCATACCCAGGTGGCAGTGTGAGAGAATACACAGGCAAGCAGAGTAGTGGGAGACAAAAGGCCTTGACATTGAAGACAAAAGGCAAGGAGTTGGAACGTATGAGATGTACTGCCACTGAGAGGCCTTTATCCCACCCAACCTTCCTTTAGCAGGCCTGCAAAAGACCCCAATTCTCCTCAAGGTCTCCTGGCCTCTTCCACCTTCTTCCTCCCCCAAACTATCTGCCTATCCTGACCAGATTCACAAGAGGCCCAACAGACTGTGCTGACTTCCAGTCTGTCTTAATCGAATCTAAGCAGTATTCTACTTAAAGTGATGTGATGCCTCTGTGTTAGCAGCTACATCTTCAGTTCTTTGATAGGTACAATAGATGTACTCAGGCATTAACTGAAATTCATTACAGTATAATTCTCATATAATAATTCACTGTGTGCATTTTGCAATCGGTTTTTGATATCTCACATGGTACTTATTGAAACTGCCCAAGGTTCTAGGGCTAAAATAGAAACAAACATCTTAATTTGGACTCTGTATTCTCCTGATTGTTTTTTTTTTCTTCTAGCAAAAAATAGATTTGTAAAATAGCTCAGCATTTCTCCTGGTTTTTTTCTGCTTTTATTATGTTAACTTAGAACCTGAGACTCAAGCTACTGTACAGTTAATAGAAGAGAGTTTAATTAGGTTACTTAACAGAAGTCACCATTGGAGCAAACAGTAGTGAGATGAAAAAATAAGCTCTCCACTGTAACTGTTTATAATTGAAATGGTGCAGTGGACGCTTTTATACACATAGGACCCAATCAAATAATTTGCAAAGAAAACTACTTTAATTGTATTTTAGAAGCTTATCTATTAATTTTGACATGGCAAGAATGTTTTTGGTGCATTATTCCTTTATGAACAGACGAAGCTGAATAAAGTTTTTGTATATTTTTCAAGACATAAGGTAGCTTTAAAGTATTTTAATAACTGGAGATTTATTTTCTACCTAAGGGACTGTCTGTTGGTTGTATATGGAAAAATGAGCCTAGATCTTGAAGTTTGTTGAAGTTTAGATCTAGGACCAGATTTACAAAGGTATTTAGGTACCAAAGATCAAAATAGGTTTCAATGGCAGGTGCCTAAGTATTGTGTACAAAGCAGGTTATGTATCTATTTGCATTTGAAATGCCTAAATACCTTTCTAAATTGGACCCCTAGTCTGAAACTTTACTGCCATTACTCTATAATGGGCTCAATTAACACCCTGGACCTACACACACAAATGTTGTGGAAGTTTGGATCCACGTCCATGCTTTTTGACTTGGACCCATTTCTGTTTGTATCTAATCACAGTAACAAAGATTGGTGAGTATGGAACAGCTGACCATCTGTTGGTATAATTTCAAGAGAAGGAGAGGCAGGGCATCTCTGGGACTCACTTCCCTTCAGTGTATGCCAGTGTGTTTATTTGGCATCTGTAGGGCCCTACCAAATTCATGGCCATGAAAAACACATCACGGGCTGTGAAATCTGGTCTCTCCCCATGAAATCTGCTCCTTTGTCTGCTTTTACCTTACACTATACAGATTTCAGGGCAGGGACCAATGTTTCTCAAATTGGGGGTCCTGACCCAAAAGGGAGTTGCAGGGGGGTGGCAAGGTTATTGTAGGGGGATTGCAGTATTGCCACTCTAACTTCTGCATTGACTTCAGAGCTGGGTGGCCAGAGAGTGGCAGCTGTTGGCCGGGTGCCCAGCTCTAAAGGCAGCGCCCCATCAACAGCAGTGCAGAACTAAGGGTGGTAATGCCATGCCATGCCATGCCACCCGTATTTCTGCTCTGCTGCTGCTGCAGCAGTACCACGACCCCCGCCCCACAATAACCTTGTGGACCGCCTCCCCCTCCCCACACATGCAAATCCTTTTTGGATTACAATTACACCACCATGAAATTTCAGATTTAAATAGCTGAAATCATGACATTTTATTATTTTTAAACTCCTATAACCGTAAAATTGACGAAAATGGACCGTGAATTTGTTAGGGCCCTAGGCATCTGTCCTGCTGAATCTGAAGACTTTCTTTCCTTTGACTGTTTTATTGCATATTGCGAGATGAGCTCCTGGTGATTTCTACTGTTCCATTTCCAGCGTTCATTGAGCCAATGATGCCTTTTAAAAACTGAGATACATTTTTAAATTGTTTTCTTAGTGCAAAGATGTGTCAGTGAGTTTCCTCAGGGAACTTTGGGAACATACAAGAAAAGGTGGAGTGAGTTCTCTTCACAAATAGTTTTTAGATAACATAATTTTTATGAAGCATTTTTATCCTTGTGGTAAAATATTCGTAGCACTGAAGGTTAGGCTTATTTACATTCCAGAGATGAAATTGTATACAAAATTATTATGCAGCAGTTCAAGGAACTAATTAAATGTTTTATTTTGTAAATTTAATGAGAGATTTGAATTTTAGTTGTCAAAATTAAATATGCAGTAGATATGGCTACTAAATAAATGTTAAAGAATCATTTAAACTCTACTGGACTGTGTGAAACCAACACTTACGTTCTCATCAATTTTGCTTATCATGGTTGGGTTAGTATAAGCACTGAAATCATAGTAACAGTTAAGAGTCTGTGTTTGACTCTGTCTTTGCAATTCGTCAAATGAAACATTTTTTAGTTTGTTTTATTTTCATCTTTAAAGTGTTGGCTGGGTAACTGTATGGAGGGACGTTAATGTGAAGTCAAGTCACACACAAAAATCTCTCTCTCTCTGGCCTGTTTTAAAAAAATCAAACTCTAAGGTTTTCTACATTTTTGCAGTGGCAAAGAAGTAGAGCAAAAATAGGGAACTGTCTGGATAACTAGATGATTTGTAACTGCTAGTGGCTCACTCTGCTATGGGTGGTAGTCTAGGACAGCAAAATACGATTGACAGAAAACTGTGGGCTGGTAGGCACAGAGATTTGCTAGTTTGCCTGAGGCAACAGAACACAGGTACTAGCTTTGGATATTATGCAATTGCAGAGTTTATTTTTAAAGGAAATTTGTACATGCTTTATTCATAAAAAGGAACTTGTCCTTCCTTTAATAACTACAGCTTGACAGTATTTTACATGAAATCCATCATGAAGTGTATCAGTAATGATCTTAAGCTCGTACCCATTCCTTGGAATGGAAACATTTTGACAATATACGAAGTTGCCATAAGCTAATTGTTCATTCTCTGACTCCTTGTTTGATGGCACAGTCCTTCAGTGCACAGCTGGTGGGAGGTGAAGGAATGCATTTCATGGTTCCTTCATCCACAGTAAAAAGTTTCACATCCCCCCCACACCTGGTGTTCTCTTGCATTCCCTTGTTGTTTAGGTGGACCACACATTAGCATTATTACTAAAGTGGATTGCCTTCAAAATAGATTTTACATATGTCTAAAGTTAGGATTATTACAGTTTTTGCAACTATCAAGTAGTGACATTCTCAGGTGTTGGAAGTAGAGCTGGGTAAATTTTTTTTTTTACAGTAAAAATGCAGTTTCAGGTGAACCAAAACATTTCACAAGTTTGCATCCATTTCACTTAATTGTTTCAGTCTAAACATTTGGAATTTTCTGTTTGAAACCACTTTTCATTTAGAACTTTCCTTCAATTTTATTTTAAAAAATTTTTAATGAAAAAGCTTCAAAATCTAAGTGAAACTTTTTGATTTACCTGAAACGGTGGAAGGAGGGGGAGGTGTTCGAATTTTTGAAACTTCCAAAATATCTGTAGACAGAGGCCCTTTATTCCAAAATCTGAATACAGAGTTGGAATGTGGTTTAAAAAAAATAGAAAATGGCCACATGCAAAGCCTGCTTGCTGGGCCCAGGTGTAAGGTGATCCCTGGAAAGGCACAACTTTACCTGTGCTTTTCATGAAATTGAAATGCTGTAAGTAAATGGAGTTTACAAGCAACAGTGTCCCCATTCCACTCCCCTACTGTAATATAATTTCTGCACAACTGAGATACTGACAAAAATTGCTACCAGAGTCAAATACATCTTCTAGCTGTTCTGTGTATTGGGAGAAACTTCCCTCTCTTACATCCCTGGATAGGAATATTTAGGCAGGTGGAGGCACCAAATTTTAAATAATAACACTATCAAAATGGCTCTTCAATTGGTGGTGCAGAGGATGAAAAAAATCAAATATATTAAGAGTTGTGGGGGTGTCTTCTTCTTCCCACTACCCCTCTCTCCTGCTGGTAATAGCTCATCTTAAGTGATCACTCTCCTTACAGTGAGTATGGTAACACCCATTTTGTCATGTTCTGTGTGTATATAAATCTCTTCACTGTATTTTCCACTGAATGCATCCGATGAAGTGAGCTGTAGCTCACAAAAGCTTATGCTCAAATAAATCGGTTAGTCTCTAAGGTGCCACAAGTACTCCTTTTTAAGTACACACCATAAGTGCAATCTGTTTAGAGCTACAGTAGTCACTTCTTCAGACTTTTCCAATAGTTATGGCTAGCTATTATTTTCATTTGTTTACCTCATGGCTATATGTTTATTTTTTGTCTATCTTCTTTTCCAGTGCACTTCATACCACTCTAAGAGGAATCAGAATAAGGGAAGAGAGTTTGATATATACACTATTAGAATATTCTCCTTCTTTTATTGAATCTTCATTCTTCACTTTTGCAAGACACTACAGCATTCTGCTTACTCTGTGAAAGTATTCTCTTTACTTCACAAATAGGGGGGCTTCAAAATGTTTTACATAATTTGTGGCCTGACATTTTCCAGGGATGCTGAGAAGCCACAGTTGAAACTATGGGTGCTGAGTTTGTCTGAGAAATTAGACCACTTGCCCTCAGATGCAAGTACTGTATAATTTATTTCACTAGTGCTAGTAACGTTAGAAAGTGCATTGAGACACAAGAATGTTATTTACAATCAGAAGTTTATGAAATGTTTTTATTTTCTCTATTCTATAGAACATGAAAAGCAGCGGTTATGCAAGAGCACAGATTATATGAATTTGCACTTCAAAGTGAAATGGTTTTATAATGAGTATGTGCGAGAACTCCCTGCCTTCCAGGAAGCAGTGCCCGAGTATTCTCTGTAAGTAGTGGGGAGAATTTCCCCTGAGTTTGTGCTCTGCTTGTTAAGTTTTATTTTCTTTAAATATTTATCCATTATAACACTAAAAGCAGAGTGCATTTAAGCTAAGCAGCACTAATAACCCTTTCTTTATACTCTGCACACATTTTCCCCTTAATTCTTTATTCCCAAAAATAAGTTATACCAGATATTTTAAAAATTGTTAACCATTTCAGGTTAATGTGTTTATTCAACAATAGTATTTAATAGAAGGGTTTCACAAATGGCAAAATCCTAAGGCCAGAGGATGGCAGAAAATGTGGGTATGGCAACAGTATTAGCTATTTGTCATTATAGTCATTTCTTTCCAAAATCTGGAGTAAGATACAGTACTAATGGGCAATAAGAGCAATGAAAGGTTTTATTCCATATGACTAATTTTCTTCTGCTGCTTCTCTTTTCTTCTCTCTTGCTGCAGTTAATTCACATTTTTGGTCCTATGTCTTCTGATTTTTAGAATTCCAATAACTTGCCTCAGAAAGTTTGGGGTCTGTCATTGGTTTCCATAGACCATAAATCCAACCCGGCAAATAAAATATACCACAGCTGAGGTTTTACCAAAGTAAAACTACCTCCAGCTCATCCCATTATTAGTAAGAATCCAAACGTATGCTAAGAAAACAAAAAACCAGTGGAATCATTCTTGATAAAAGACACTTTCTAATTATCAGACAATAGAAGCTCACACGCACATGCACCTTGATCTGTGCATGATGTCCCCAATCCTACTTGGTTGGGGAGGAAACAGAGGAGAAATAGATCATCCTCCTCCAGCCCCATAGAGATTCCTTAGAAAAGATAATACAGCCTCTTTATCTTTGCTTTTGAGAGCCCCCATTGCAAGGACTTTAGGGGCAGCCACAGCCTGAAAGCTCCCTTAGTAGTATGATTCAAAATGCTTCCAGGATGAAGGGCTCACCCAGGGCTAGAACTGTTTGCCTCCTACACTTCCCCGAGGAGCTACATGGTGATCCACAGGGTTTCTAGGGAGATCTCATGGCCAATTCTGTGGGATTGAGAAACTCCCAATAAATTGATAAGAAAGGAACTCTAGGAGAGAACCTTTAAAGCTGTCTTTGCTCAGAATTCCTTTCTATACTTTCAACTGTGGGAGGGGATTATGGGGCCCCATATGTTTATATACATATTCATAGAATCATAGAAGATTAGGAAGAGACCTCAGGAGGTCATCTAGTCCAATCCCCTGCTCAAAGAAGGACCAAGCCCAACTAAATCATCCCAGCCAGTGCTTTGTCAAGCCAGGCCTTAAAAACCTCTAAAGATGGAGATTCCACCACCTCCCTAGGTAACCCATTCCAGTGTTTCACCACCCTCCTAGTGAAATAGTTTTTCCTAATATCCAACCTAGACCTCCCCCACTGCAACTTGAGACCATTGCTTCTTGTTCTGTCATCTGCCACCCCTGGGAACAGTCTAGATCCATCCTCTTTGGAACTCCCTTTCAGGTAGTTGAAAGCAGCTATCAAATCCCCCCTCAGTCTTCTCTTCTACAGACTAAATAAGCCCAGTTCCCTCATCCTCTCCTCGTAAGTCATGTGCCCCAACCCCCGAATCATTTTCGTTGCCCTCCGCTGGACTCTCTCCAATTTGTCCAAATCCTCTCTGTAGTGGGGGGTCCAAAACGGGACACAATACTCCAGGTGTGGCCTCACCAGTGCCGAATAGAGGGAAATAATCACTTCCCTCGATCTGCTGGCAATGCTCCTACTAATGCAGCCCATATGCTGGTTCTCTAGATATACACAAATTTGATATTTATTTTAATGTTACTGACTAAGGGGCAAGCCCTTCTCCACAAAAGGCACATACAACTCCCATTTATAGCAATTAATGTTTTAGCAGAATTAATGCTTATGATGTGAAAGCAGTTAAATAACAAATTGTAATGCTATTTGATAATTAAAATTGGCCAAAATAAAAGGATCATATTTGCAACTCTAATACTGAGTGTGACATCTTTCAAAACTCCATTTTTGCAGATGCCAAAACTGAGTTTATACATGCAAATCCAGAGCATACCATATGCAATAATGTATGAATGAAACAATTATGAGGACAGTTTAGAAGTCAGATCAAAATCCAAATGGTTGATATTATATATAATCACAATATTAAAGTCCCTTAATGTCATAAAAGAGCAATAACTCTATGTATATTCCAGAATAAAATGAATATTTTAAGGCAAACATGAAACATCAATGGTTGTAATTTTTAGATGGTTTGAGCCTTTTGTCATTCAATGGTTGGATGAAAATGAAGATGTCTCAATGGAGTTTCTTCATGGAGCACTGGAAAGAGACAAAAAAGATGGAGTAAGTCCTTTTTATAAAAAATTGTATTACTGCAGGAAAGAGATTTGGTATTACAATGTCCCTACAGTATAGGCACTCCTTATGCTGTGTCCTTATTAGATATCACACGTTATGCAGAGTCATTACTGGCCAGTACTTACCCTTCAATGCTCACCCTATGGCCAGGTTCCAACTCCTGAATGATTTTTTACCTACCTAAGTGCCACTTCCAATTGCAGTTGTAGAACTTAGTTGCTTGCCCTAGACTAGTGCTTAGTGCTGCTTTGCACTGTCCAGCAGCTGCTACGTTTAATCTGTGAGGTGTCAGGCCTTCAGAGGTTCCTTTCTATAGTTTCTGCATTGGTTTATACAGACCTTTCAGCTGAGCACCCGTTTGGATGAATATTTTTATAGGAAAATATCTTTATCGCATGTTTATTCATGCAGTGCAAGGATACAAATATCACTACAGCAATGCCATATTGCTATAGTAAAAGCATTCTCCAGCTAGGAGGGGGAGTATCTAAAGTTATTAAATTCAAGTCTCATTTGCTGCAAGCGACACTCCATAAGATTATATTGCTGTCAGACCAAAAACACCATGGGTAAAATCCTGGCCCTGTTGAAGCCAATTGGAGTGTTGCTGTTGACGTCAGTGGAACCAGGATACCATGCCACATATTTTGTGCAGAGATTCAGATACTCGTGGCACAGCTCCAAAGAAGGCTAAATATTTATGTCCTGGTCCTGAAATGCAGCCCTGTAGCACAGATTCTTTGGAGTGTTAATGAAGCCAATGAGACTCCATACAGGTATAAGTATCTACACTAGCAGATCCCAGTGCAGGACTATTGCTGAAGTTTGTAAAGCTTCATTCTGTTCCCAGAAGAGCACAAAAGAACACATCAAATTACTGTCTGTGTTACAGCCCTTAAAAGTGAAAGCAATTTTTTTAAAATTTTCATTTTCTGGCTCTAGGATGGCTTTAGAAGTGTTAGAAATTCAATGAATACTGTTGTATTGTCAGAACATGGATCTGCAAATGTTAACTCATTTTAATGGGTTTTTTTGTTCCCTCCCCCTCTTTATTCTCCTTTAGTTCCAGCGAACATCAGATCATGCCCTTTTCTCTTGTTCTGTGGTAGATGTCTTCACACAACTCAATCAAAGCTTCGAGATTATCAGGAAACTGGAGTGTCCTAATCCTGAAGCACTGTCTCATTTAATGAGAAGATTTGCGAAGGTAGATTAAAATCAATGCATCTTGACCACGTTTCAGAGAAAGCGATGTTCTATTGTCATTGTGCTTAAAAACATTCTAATGTTATTTAGAACCCATATTCCCTGTTGCAGACCAGGAGCCTTAGAGAAGTTATTTTGTTTTTATTCTTGGGAAATGACCAGTTTATTTTCTCTTAATTGATCACCCAGTTTGAGGAACTCTAATCTCCTCTGGACTTCAAGTTATAATAGAACTAGATATAAGCATATGTTACCAAATGTCTTGACAACTTTGGTGTTCTTGTTAATCATTGAATCACTACTTAGATTTCAGAGGGATTCATCAGTGAAACATATAGTGATCTGTCAGGTCTGTGAGATGACTGGAAGAAATCTGGAGCCTTACTTCTGCATAGTTTTGGCACCAAAGCATTGTTGGTTGAAGCCCCTCCAGAGTTTGTTTGTTTTGTTTCTTGCTCTGCCACCTCACCGGCATGTTGGTCCTGCTGATGGATAGTTTGTTCTGTTAGGCTGTTTTGGAAGCTTGGTGAATTTATGAGCTTCTCTTGAAGACCCAGTGCGACCAGTTCATCTCTCATTCTCTGATGTCACTTAAAATCAACAATTTCCATTTTCTGTGGATTGCTAAAGAATACATTGAAAAGTGCTGCTCTCTGTGGGATCTTATGTGCTGCCCTCTCTTTCTCCATTTTAAGATTTCACCATTGAGAAATACTCCCTGCTTAAGGTCTATCAGCCAGGATTTCTTAACTTACTTTATTGTACAATATTTCTAGCTATACAGTATCCTTCCAACATTTTGAACCAGATCCTTGGCCCCTGCTAAGATCTTTTTGAATCTTCAGAGCAGCTTAAAGGGACCTAACCAGCCTAAAAGAGCTTCTAAAGATTCCCCAGAATGGGGATGTCCTAAGCTGACATAAAGCAGGCATAGCTGACTTTACACCATTTACTTCCCCAACCTCTGATATAAGGGGAATGTCAGGAATGGGGAATGCATGATAGGAATGTGTAGGGACAGGAGGGCCAAAGCCAGAGCCCCAGGTTTGGAGAGAGGAAAGTTTACTTTGAGCCACCTTACCCCACCCCAACAGCATCAATCATCAGCTCAGTACAGAAAAGTATATGACCTTCTATACTTGTTAAAGAGATACCATAGAATTGCCAGGTAGCAAGGCCATCAGGGACCAGAGCCAGTGCTATGACAAAGACCCTCATTTCTAACTGATCCTCCAGAATCTACAGGGCTTGGGAGCGGGTCCTGGGGCCTATTTGCAGTGTATGATGGGGGAGAAACTCTAGGAGGGAATCCTCAGAGGTCTTTCCTCCCCAGAGCTCCCAGCTGTAGGCTTTGCTTTGGAAGGGGAGGCAGGCAGCATGGCTTAGTGGATAGAGAACTGGACCAGGATTCAGGACACTTAAGTGCTATTCAGGAGACTTAGATGCTATTCTAAATCCAGCTGCCACTGCATTGTTAGGTGACCTTGGGCAAGTCATTTCACCGCTTTGTACCTCAGTTTCCCCATCTTTAAAATGGGATAATAATGGTTGTCTCCTTTGTAAAGCACTTTGAGATCTGTTGATGAAAAGCACTATGCAAGAGCCAGATATTATTATTTTGCTCATTTTGTTTCTCAAAATAGCATAAGTGGTTAAACTACGTCATGTGCTATTCACCTGCCATTGTTTGTTTGTTTGTTAACCTAAGGTTATTTCTGGGTTCTATGGCTGAGTCTCAAGTTTTAGACCATAAACAAGTTTATTTTTCTGAATGCCAAAGATTAAGCATTTTTTCCTTTGAAAATAGACTCCACCGCTGAGACCTTGCATGTCAAGTTCTCACCTTCTGCAGGTATTTAACAGCTGAGTTTACAGGGTTCGCCCTTAAAGACTTGCCAGTTGCCTTAGATAATTAAATAATATCACCTGAGTATTTACAGTATTTCTCTTAACTCCTAGAATAATAACTACAAGGAGGTAGAGGTAATACTGCTAATACAGGGTGATCACTGTAGATATACTTGAAAAGCAGGGTTTGTTATAGAGCCTTAACTATAGTTGTAATAAACCTATCTGGAAAATGTGGTGCTGTGTGCAAGTGAAATATCACACTTCAAGTAAAGGCCAAAAGTAATTTTCTCTATCATATTTGAAGGCAAGTTTGAACAGCTAGGGGTGGATCAGCCACCTGTTTTTTCTAGGTTTATTGATCTGCTGTTTGATAAGCTTACACATTGTGTAAGGCCAACTTTCTACTTGGATTGCCACAGTCTTGCAAGCTTTAAAATTCCATGACAGTGCCAAGGGCTAAGAAATAGTTTGTATTTACACATAATTCTGTGCTTTCATCACTTTTCTCAGTCTGTAAACAAAGTACATATTCACGTGATTGTTGAGGATTACGTTCACATTGCTGATATTTAAACATTGCTCCTTTGGTTCTTATTTTTCCATTACATTTTAATCTGTAGGTTGTCACCCTAGAGGATTTTGAGCATCACTAATGTTCTGCTTAGTACATGTTGCACAATGCACAAACTAGAGCCCCTCAATGTTCTTACTTCTCAATGTCAGTATAACTAAATGCAAAGTATTTCTGTTATAGAAAATTACATTCCATTAAAAAAGAAACATTATCCATTGTGAAGGGATTTAAAATGTGACCTTTCCAATTTTCTAAGCAAATGCAAACTAAAATTTTGTAAATTTAATCCAGGACAATTTTCTATCATTTACAAATATTATCTGCTTTGAAAACAAGCCTCTACTTTCACTTGAATACTATTTTGTATTTTTACTTACCATTCTTCAGAGACTGTTACATGATTATGTATCTCAATTAAACATTTCCTTTTCCACGCCAGACTATCAACAAAGTGCTTCTTCAGTATGCTGCAATTATTTCAAATGACTTCAGTTCATACTGTGATAAAGAAATTTTGGTAAGTAAAGTTTAAAAAATACTAATATTATTTCTGATATTATTTCTGTCTTTAAAAAGTGCACTTAGAGGTCTTATTATATTAACTGGAAATATGATCATTTTTATTGCAAGAAAATGAATGGAAAAAGGGAGAGGTTTTTTCCCAGAGGATAACCTATTTTCCTTGATTACTTACATTGTAATATAACAACTGATGGGGGTTGGTGGAAGAAAGGGGAAATTAATATTAGAAGGAGAAATACTATGCACAGAGAAGTGTGGAAGAAACTGGTGATTTCCTATATTTGAAGTGATTACGTTGATGGAGATTTGCACCCAAAAACCTTAGCTCTAAATTAAGGAGGTTTTTGTGTGTGACAGAATCCTATATTGTTCTCTCCTAAATCCCAGTAAATGATAAATGACTGTAATATGACACATCCTCACCTCCACCCATCTTCTCCTTCTCCATGCAGTAGTGAAACAGAATGGTAAACTAATGTGCTGTCTTGTTGGCTGCAGAGAATTCTTGCATGACAAGCCCAATGGACACAGCAGTAAATAAGACACAGACAGTGCAGTTAAATAAGCGTTACAATATTATTAACGACTTAACATAACCAAGGAACACCCTTGCAGCAAACTGACCCAGTGTGTGGTGTCACTATTGTGCCATCAAGACCAATACACCCAGGAAAGGCCTTGCTGGGCCTTGCCCAATGAGTACTTCAGCAGGAGTTGGCATATACCATAACTATGTACTACTTTGTCCTCATTTGAGTAACTAAGGTGCAACCCAAGAGGTACCTTATTCTGTCCGTATATTTAGGTTCAAACCAGTCAAAGTCATTTGCAGGACCTGGCCTTTACCTGTCACATCTTTATGCACAGGTATGGGATTATGTTAATTGTTCCTGGACCAACAGCAATGTTTGGGAGAAATACATAGCTGTTAAAGGGACAGTGTTCTCCAGCCTCAAAAGATTGGGCCGTGCTGGGGAGATAGAAAATCCCAGACTGAATGGCTAGTCTGTAGTCCTGGAGAATCCTTTCTCAACCCCTAAAAGGTGGTCAGGTGAAATTGAAAGCCCACAGGACACCTGGTCATAGCAATAACAAACTAGGATGTGCGGGAACCAGTGCCGGGGGAAGAGACAGCTCAGCAAAATGATGCTGAGAACCAGGAAAGTCCTGCAGTAAATAACCCTCTCCCAGTCCCTTCTAGAGAGGGAGCAGAGCTATTAGCCACCAGCCACAGCATACAAATTGTCCTATTTGGTACTGCAGGGGACTGGCAAAGAACAAATAGGGAGCAGCCACATGAAACTCAGAATACAGGAAAATCCTCCCAGAGCACAGAAGGATGGTCTCACCCGTTGCTGATCCCAGCAAACCGTCCCTGAATGGGGTGGGCATTCTGTGAGGTTCTTTGCACATCAACTCCCATTAGAGTCTAGACAACTTAAGGGTGTTTGGAGGAGAATCTTGGCTTCTGGCAGGACTGGGCCCACTATCCTAAACTAAGCTAAAGTAAAAGATTTTGAGAAAATGAAAAGCTGTTGTTCAAAAACCCAGAAGTTCAGAACGCTTTTATAGATTTATGAAAGTTGAGAACTAAACTGGAGCACAAATTATTTTTTTCACACATAGAACTGGGGGAGGAACTATGTTGGTGAGATTGGAACTGAGATTGGAAATGAATAAATGGAAAAATGGAAATAATATGCCCTCGTTGTCACCGGAGCTTGATATTATCACAATCCAAAGGTCACCAGCATATACAACAAAAGAAATCAGAAATATGGTATAGCTAAATAGCTGTACGCAGTGTACATTTCCCAGACCTGAAGAAGAGCTTGGTGTAAGCTTGAAAGCTTGTCTCTCTCACGAACAGAAGTTGGTCCAATAAAAGATATTACCTCACCCACCTTGTTTCTCTAATAGCTAAAGAGCAACAGTCCTTGGTTCCTTCCTCTTCTAACCACCACAGACAACATTTGAAATATTAATTTTTCTACCAAACCATAGCGATATGTATGGTGGAAAAAGACTTAAATATTATTTGCTTACTATGCAATTACATTTAATATAATGTCAGTAAATAAAACTAAGAGTAATGAGAGAGTTTAGAAAACTGTAACTTTAGGCAGTGGTTTTATATAAATATTTCTACAAGGGAATGAATTTTATTCATATGGATGTGTCATATTTCAGACTCCCTTTCTACTTCAAATATCTTCATCTTTGGAGCTCCTACCGAAAACATATTGAAAAAGACATACATAAGGAGATTTCCACACATTTTGCATCTGGCAATGCTTAAATCTTGCTTACATCAGAAAGAAGACACTAAGCAGCAAGCCAGGCTTGGCAGCCAAGAAATGCAGCTAGTCAGTTCACAACATACCAGAATACCATGTTGTCATAAGTTTGCCCAGCAGGTCATTTTCATGGTTCAGTCAAGGTTCTTCATCTTGTGAGCTATTGCCATAAGTAGCGGAAATAAGCAATCAGTGTAGATATAGATATACACATGCAAATGTTGTGTGTCTTTACATGGATTCTCCCTACCTCCCACAGGAGCCACTGAGCTGAAAATACCTTGGGGCAGAGTATCTCCCGTGATGTGGGAGTGAATGCATCCCCTGTTTTTCCCCCTCCTGCATCTGTCAGTAATCCAGCCCACCTGCTCCAGACGGTTGTTTATATATGGGTTTGGCCCAATATGTTGCCATAGCCAATTGCACTTTACATGTAGTGTGCAAGTTAATTAAGATTTGTAGTATTGTACTTACAGTTCATTTCAAATTAGGACTCTGATACCTAATGTTAGGTCATCAAATCACACTGTTTGTGTTGCCTCTTAGTCTTTCCAATGGGATTTTTTTCATCATTGAAGTGATTGATTTCTGAAGTCACCCTGGAACGCTAATCTTTGCTAAGGCTTTGGATAAGGTTGTTCTCATTATGGCTTTGTGACGGAGAAAAGGCATAAAGGATTACAACAAATGACTTTATAGAAAGATAACTTATTTTTACTAGAAATCATCTATTTGAAATTCATATTTCTAGATTGATGAGATTTCATTTGATTTGGTGATCCCAAGTTATACTAAAACGCCATCTCCTGTTTTTCATTTGCTAGAAGAGATTTAAATAAATACTGCTTTATGATTGTAGTTAAGTGCAAAGTTATCAAATTTATTTTAGGACCATTTTATTAATTCCATTCAATAAAATTTACAGGAACTTTTCAAATAAAAAATAGACATAGCTGTACATTTTCTATGGTGTGTACTTCTTTATTAAATGTATCATCATATTTCCCCACAGCCTGTCACTGTTTATGAACATATTTCAGTTTTATGCATTGTGCTTGGTATTCAGTTTTGTGTGTTGTTCTGTTTGGCTGTCTGACTCCTGTAAGGTGCCATAAATAGAATTCTAAGGTTCAACATATGCAATAAACTGGGAACATTTTTGAGCCTCAGATCTACTCTCATTGAAGTCAATGCAAATTTTGCCAGTGAATTAACAGGTACAGGATCAGGCCCTTAATAAGCAACTATGATCTCAGAGGAAACTTTGAAAACTGTCTCATTAGGAACAATTCACCTGATACTTGTTCAATGTATTTATCTTCTCTCTTCCTTTATTGCCAAGAGCACTGGCAGTTGTTTAGAACAGTGGCTCTCAACCCGAAGTCCGGGGCACCCCGTGGGGGGCTGTGAGGAAGTTTCAGGGGAGCCGCCAAGCAGGGCCAGCATTAACCTTGCTGGGATCCAGGGTCCCAGGGTAGAAAGCTGAAGCCCTACTGCATGGGGCTGAAGCTGAGGGCCCTGAGCTCTGCCACCCAGGGCTAAAGCCTAAGCCTGAGCAATGTAGCTTCACAGGAGCCCCTGTGGCGTGGGGCCCCAGGCAGCTGCCCTGCTTGCTACCCCCTAATGCTGGCCCTGGTTTTATATGCAGAAAACCAGTTATTGTGGCACAGGTGGGCCGTAGAGTTTTTATAGCATGTTGGAGTGGACTCAGAAGAAAAAAGTTTGAGAACCCCTGGTTTAAAAGAAATACATGTGCTGTATTCCCCATCAGAAATCATAATCATCTGTTAGTGACATCACAGATTGTTTCCAAAACAAGCAATAATGATGTGTCAAAAAGAAGATGAATACAACTAAGCAGTAGGTAACAAGTATACTTTTTTCATGGAGGTAATGTCAGAAATGACATACAAAGATGACCAGTGGTTCTCAAATATGCTCTTAAAAGAGAGAGACTCTGATGTGGGCGACCTCCTGGCTCAGTCCTAGCCCCGCACCTTCCCTGCAGCGACTTTAGAGCTTTGTGGCTATGTATTTATAGTACCCAAAACATAGTGGGTGCTTTTCTTGCATACAATAAGGTAGGTCCCTCCCAAAAGTGAATAAACGAATGACATGAACCTGCAAACACTTACTGCTAGCCATAATGTGTATTACCATGAATACTCCCCATTGAAGTCCTGTGGCCTGGGAGTTCTCACAGTAGTAAGCACTATGTCTGGTAGTAATGGATCCTAAAAACACAATATGCTGAAAAAGAAATAATAGAGAGGCAGTAAGACAAACTGTTATTTCTCTAATTATTTTGAACCCAGACCCATTGATTCTATAATATTCTCATCCAGCATCAAACTTTATTTTCATTATTTAAAATTTTGTATGTATACACATACACAGCTGTTGTACAATGTTATATAGAAATGCAGGTGTGTGTATAGATATATAATTCATATGTATATTTACCTGTTTCATAGGCATATTTAGTTATTTATTTGTGTATTTATTGCTCTCTGTCTATACTTATTATTCACTGTCCTCCTTGCCCATAACCTTTTCCACTTACCCACTGCTTTTAATCCTTTCCTACCTTTAAATTCTAGTTGTAATAGAAGAGATCAGATACAATCTCTGTTTGGCTCATTTTGTATTTGGGTTCTATCCTCCAAATCCCCTGAATTTCAGTGTAATCTGCAGATTTGATCATGGTTAAATATTTACCAAAGGGCGCCCAACAATGAAAGGTTCTTTCACAAATTTTAGTTCCCATTCAGCAATATGAGCAGTGGAGCTCCTTTGAAGACTGATACACAAGTAACTGGAATTTCTTGGATGGCAGAGTTAGTTACCCACTGTTTTGATTGGGCATGCTTCCCCATTAAAACAGATGTAGCTCCCTGGACACAAGTGCTCCACAGATGTCAGCTGAAGAACCATTGAACTAGGATATATATAAGCAGAATTGTTTCTAATGTTAATGTTTCTCAAGTTTTCCAGGAAATGTCAACAGCCTTTTAAACACTGTTGCTTTGCTTATGCTTTTATGGAAATATCAACCACTGCAGTACCCTAACCTTAAGATATGACAGACTCTAGTACTCTGTGTTTGTGCACTGCCTAGAACAAAGGGGCTACGTACTTGGTTGGCACTGCTGTAATAAACATTTTTCACGATAGAAACTGGCTGTTTTCAAGGGTTTGCAGGTTTATTTCCATGGGGAACTAATTGGGGGTGTGGTCTTTTCACTGGAATGTAATCCAAGATGCCCCAGTTCACTGGTGCTGAGTGCCCTCTTTCACATTCTTTCTGACTCAATCCTTAAGGATCCAGCACCAATATCAGATAGAAAAAGGCGCAGGTCATAAAGGGGATAGGGTGGCTGCCTCTTGTGGGCGGGGATGGGGAGAATGGTTCAGTAGTTACATGAGGTCAAGTCACTTGTTGGGGGAGGAAGAGAGATGAGAATCTCAGGACAGTGTGCTAAAATTTACTGTACTTTATTGAGACTGAGTGATGAAAGGGTTAAGAATACTAAATAAGGATCTTCTATTTTATTCTCCAGTTTCCTTTTTCTTTCTGACCCTGAGTTCCCTTAGATTTTATAGAGTAGGCTGCTGAATTATTTAAATGCTTTTCTGAACCCTAGTCTACTCAAACCATGTTTCAGCCAACAGTGAGCTGCATCACAGACTAAAAGGGTTTTAAATGCATGTGGGTTGCTGTTAGCACCCGTCATCTTCTTGTGAGGTTTAAGTATAGATGCATTATAGAAATTCATTTCTTGCAGATTTGAATGTAATGTGCAGATGCACTGGAACAGTAATCCTGCCAAAACAGAATTCTATTATCAAGATTTTTTTTGTATTACAAAGTAGTAAATAAAGCCATACGAATTTACAAAGCCTCCATAGTAGAATCCGTTTAATTTAATCTCTGTATCTGGCAGTTGCTATCTTTTGCAGTGCGATTCCCTCAGTCTTTGGCATACAGTTTAAAAAAGACAATGGCTTACGTGAAAATCATAGAATCATAGAATATCAGGGTTGGAAGGGACCCCAGAAGGTCATCTAGTCCAACCCCCTGCTCGAAGCAGGACCAATTCCCAGTTAAATCATCCCAGCCAGGGCTTTGTCAAGCCTGACCTTAAAAACCTCTAAGGAAGGAGATTCTACCACCTCCCTAGGTAAAGTTTAAACAATAGTATTTTAAAAATAAAATATGAAGGCATGTTTATGCGACTAATATTGCTTAGATTATTAAAGCACTTTTAAAGGAATGCAAAATTGTGCACCTGTGGAATAATTTAGTTTGTTATAGAATTGCCTGATTTATTCATATGCTGAGATCTCAAATGTTAACTTCATTGTAGTACATAAATGTATCAGTTTTATGCTGGAATAGGAAGATGGATTTCCAGCAAAAAAGAACCAGATATTGCAATCTTGAATCGCTTTACTTATACTTCTTCCTTTTAGCCATTCTCAACTGTTATGTTTTAGTTTGTTTGTATCTGTTTGTTCATATAACAACACATGCTATACTTTATTTATAGCCCTGTATCTTGATGAACAATATCCAGCAGTTGCGAGTCCAGCTTGAGAAAATGTTTGAGTCTATGGGAGGAAAAGAGGTAGGTGGTTTTAATTCCCTGCGTTCACTGCACAGCTACTTAGAGATCATTAGCGGTATGTTCGCAACCTATCCATAGCCTTTGCTTCTGCTTGCCAAGAAAATCAAAATGTAAAAATAAGACATATTACAGAGTTTGAAAAAATATAATATTTTATTTAAAAGCAATGCCATGTGAGAACTATATAATGCACTGGGAATGTCTGGGGAAACAAGTAATGCATTTTCATAGAAACATGCTAATGATCTGTAAAGTTCAACCAATATTGGATGTTTTATATTGCATTCTGTAGTGCCCGCTTGATTTGAATGTTCGTACTGGTATATATTTTGTTTTGTTTTTTTATGTACCAGTTTGTTTTGTTTGCATCTACAACATTCTGTAGAAAATGTGCCTTGTGCTTTGTCTGTAATGTGTCATGTCTTTGTCCAATGCCTTTGACTTGCAATCCACTGAGCAGAAGAAAGAAGGAGAGCGATTCTCTTATGAGGTTTGTGATAGTAAGCATCTTTTATTATACCTGACTATGTTTCCTAAGGCTAAGAACAGTTTCCGACTAATTTCCATGTTTGCATTTAATAATTCCCTATAATGCTAACTACTATGCTTTGGCACTCAGTTTACACTCTGCATTAAATCTTTCAATATGCAAATAGTGTAAAGTATTCCATAAATCACAAGAAGGTTGTAAAATATATTCTTTTCAATGCACTTTCAATACCTAAAGTCCCAAACTTGCAAATCTCATTCAAATGAGTAATTCTAATCCCCTCAAGCAGCATTCCAGCAATCATTCGTACGCAGAAAAGCATGTGCTTAATTTTAAGCATGTCTTTAAGTCCCATTGACTTTAATGGGACATAACCACATACAGAGGTGCTTTGGTGAAACAGGTTGTCAAGTAGCTCCTTTGAAGTAATTGATTAGTCACACAAGTAAGGTTTACAGATCTTCCACCCAGAACAGACCTTCCATCTGGAAAGTGTTGATGTTACTAATTAAATAGAAATTAATGTATTCTTTTTCAAACCGTTATGTTCAGTGTGAATCACTATACACTGATACAAGAAACATTTTAAAGCCTGATTTTTATTAGCTAGAATAACATGAAAGGGGAAGTCAATGCCCACCACCCACCCCGGACAATTGTGAACCTTAAAATGCTCTTCACTTCTAATTTTATTGTGATATGTTTCTTTAGCTAAAACAAAGGTCTGAAGACATAAATCTAATTCTTCTTAAAGAACAGTAAAGAAATGATTTACAGTATAAATGTGCAACTTTTGTGCAACATGCAGGCTATCTTTAAAAGCTTCATATCTGTTTAAGATGTTACTAACACAATATGATGTGACATATCCCAAGCTACAGGTCAAATAATCAAGCTTCAAATAATGATTTGCTCTGTGAAAATGAAGTTGCTTTGTAAAACTTGTTTTCTTCCTTGAATAAAGACGACCTCAAGATTTGAGTGAGGTACTCAAAATCCAATTGCCTTAGCAATGATCATGTTATTGGTATTTACATATACGTAATTGGAATGAAATGCAGGTTTTTTTTATCAATTTCCAGCTGTATATTAATACTTCATCTCTTTAGGAACTGTATAAATCATAATATTTTAAGGAGCCAATCTTGCCAGTTTCAGAGTACCTCCCATGATACTGAAGTCAGTGATAATTAAGAAAACTCATCACCTTTTAGAATTAGGCCCAAAGTACATTATTTGCCATTCATTCATAGCGCTTTGAGGGGTCCCGCATCAAAAACATTTCTGCAAATTTTTGCATCTGATAAAATCAGAGTCAATGTACAGTAGCAATGGTAGGCTGATGTACCGGCTAAAACTGAAGGACGGGGAGGCACATCAAACATTTATAGAAATACTGTGGATTTATTGTTGGTATCTTTTTTGTTAAATGGGCAGTAAAATGTAATCAGCTCAGCTGTGTAAAAGTGGAACTCTTCCAATTTCCCATGAACAAATAGGGATGGTGAATGTTCTGTTCCCACTCAAGTACATCTCTAATATTCCTCCTAAAGCAGCAACCTCTTTATAGCTGTTACTAATTCTACATATTTCATAGCTGTTACTGATTCTACATATCTCTACATATTTTAAGAGATTTTTCTCTCTATTTAAGGAGTTGGAAATGAAGAGCTGCAATATTTTTGTCAATGCTTCATTATAAAGGGTGCTAAAAGTGTATCAGCCAGATTCTTACTAGAAAACAAAAATCTGCTGGGTGTTATCTGAATTATTATTGTTTAATTTGTGTATTGTTGCTTCATTACGCAGCCATAGGTTAACTGTGCAGCTCTGTGTTGACATTAAAAATCAGATGCACAGGATCCACTATTCACTCAGATGTTCATTATTATCATCTGCATGATGATGCTCCCCGGAATGGGGTAGGTGCTTTCCAAATGAGACATTAGACACAGTCCTTGCCCCAAAGAAAAATCTCAGGGGAGAAGTATCTTATAAAGGAGATAAGCATACAATCAGTTTATTTAAAAAAAAAAACAAACCCAACTATTCCCGCTAGCCCTTTACCTAATCATTGTGCCAGGAGATAGATACAGCAAGATATGGAAAGGTAGTGGATGGCAATGATCTTTTTTTGAGATAGTGTGTGAATTCCAGCGGGAAGAGGGTAGGATGGAGTGTCAGGTTTGGATGGAAGGGCTGGAGGTGGTAACAAGGAAAGTTGCAAGAAATGAAAAGGATGGTCCAAAAAGGGAGGGCAGAAATCACCAGAGGGAAGGGGAAGGAGGCCAAGAAAAAGTGGAATGGATTTGTGTTGGTAAGAGGGGACTAAGAATTTGGAAGGGGAACGAGGAGCTGTTGAGGACAAAAGGGTAGAGAAGTGTAAGTAGTGGCAGAGAGCTACATTCTTTTCTCCTGATAATTAATGTTTGTAGACAGCAATTGCTGAAATGTTTCTAACTGGATTTTTTTAAACCTCATTCATAGAATCATAGAATTTCAGGGTTGGAAGGGACCTCAGGAGGTCATCTAGTCTAACCCCCTGCTCAAAGCAGGACCAATCCCCAATTTTTGCCCCGATCCCTAAATGGTCCCCCTCAAGGATTGAACTCACAACCCTGGGTTTAGCAGGCCAATGCTCAAACCACTGAGCTATCCCTCCCTCCGTGACTTAAGAGTTATCCTGTTTTCCCTCCAAAATTGGCTCATGTCTGAAATGGGGAGGGGGGGAACTCCCTACGAAATTATATTATCTTTTTCTCGGAAAGTTTCATGTGATTTTAAAAAAGATCAAAAACTGCATTACAGGAGTAGATGGATATGCAAGAGGTGTGTACAGCATGTGTTCCCTGTTGGTCTGTCTGTGCCAATCTGTTGTCTCTTATCCTCTAAGCTATCTGGAACAGAACTGTCATTTTGTTCCATTTACAAGGTGCCTAACACAATAGGGTGCTGATCCATGACTAGGTCTCTTAGGCATTGTGGTAATACAAATAATAAATAATATATAAAATAACAGTATTTTATTTCACTTACTATATTTTTAAGTGAACTTAATACTTGTGAAAGTCTTTCAGGACTCCAAAGTTCTCTATTCCCAGGACACCCACAGTACTAGCATAAATTTCTCCATACTGCTGCACCGATATTCCTTGACTCTAACCTGTCTCTATGGATGAGAACCACCATGGCCATTCAATCTCTGGTGTCCATGATGCCCAGTAAGGATGCATATTAGTGCCAGAATGATTGGAAGCATATGAAGGGAGGTTGGAAAAACTGAAATTGTTACCGTAGAAACTATACAAATCATGATAAAAATATATTCAATAATGAATGGTCTGGAGAAGGTAGATAGGAAACTTCCGATGAGTCGAAAGAATAGTAAATATGGCAGGCGACCAGCTTGGCTTAATGGTGAAATCTTAGCGGATCTTAAACATAAAAAAGAAGCTTACAAGAAGTGGAAGGTTGGACATATGACCAGGGAAGAGTATAAAAATATTGCTAGGGCATGTAGGAATGTTATCAGGAGGGCCAAATCGCACCTGGAGCTGCAGCTAGCCAGAGATGTCAAGAGTAACAAGAAGGGTTTCTTCAGGTATGTTGGCAACAAGAAGAAAGCCAAGGAATGTGTGGGCCCCTTACTGAATGAGGGAGGCAAACTAGTGACAGAGGATGTGGAAAAAGCTAATGTACTCAATGCTTTTTTTGCCTCTGTTTTCACTAACAAGGTCAGCTCCCAGACTGCTACGCTGGGCATCACAAAATGGGGAAGAGATGGCCAGCCCTCTGTGGAGATAGAGGTGGTTAGGGACTTTTTAGAAAAGCTGGACGTGCACAAGTCCATGGGGCCGGACGAGTTGCATCCGAGAGTGCTGAAGGAACTGGCGGCTGTGATTGCAGAGCCATTGGCCATTATCTTTGAAAACTCGTGGCGAACCGGGGAAGTCCCGGATGACTGGAAAAAGGCTAATGTAGTGCCAATCTTTAAAAAAGGGAAGAAGGAGGATCCTGGGAACTACAGGCCAGTCAGCCTCACTTCAGTCCCTGGAAAAATCATGGAGCAGGTCCTCAAAGAATCAATCCTGAAGCACTTACATGAGAGGAAAGTGATCAGGAACAGCCAGCATGGATTCACCAAGGGAAGGTCATGCCTGACTAATCTAATCGCCTTCTATGATGAGATTACTGGTTCTGTGGATGAAGGGAAAGCAGTGGATGTATTGTTTCTTGACTTTAGCAAAGCTTTTGACACGGTCTCCCACAGTATTCTTGTCAGCAAGTTAAGGAAGTATGGGCTGGATGAATGCACTACAAGGTGGGTAGAAAGCTGGCTAGATTGTCGGGCTCAACGGGTAGTGATCAATGGCTCCATGTCTAGTTGGCAGCCGGTATCAAGTGGTGTGCCCCAAGGGTCGGTCCTGGGGCCGGTTTTGTTCAATATCTTCATAAATGATCTGGAGGATGGTGTGGATTGCACTCTCAGCAAATTTGCGGATGATACTAA